TCACTTCAGCTAATATTAGCCCCGATTCGGCACATTTGCCGTGGCTCATAGCTCTATACGACGCTCTTAATGATGACGACGATGAAGTCCGCGCAGCTGCGGCGGCGGCGGCAACACCTATACTATCGAACCAAAGCCTCATCTCTGTAGAAGCTGGACGACGGCTACTACACTGGCTCCTGGCGCATTACGGAGACGTCGATGAGTTTAGAGCTCATGTCGTATGCCGCATGACCGGAAATATCCCTTCCTTGTCCTCATCCTCATCTTCCCACACAGCACCAGAACAAAGCCCTACCGGGACTCATCTTTCGACTACCAAGACGCTACTTGAAGGTTGGACCCCAGCCGAGGCCCAACTCGCGGAGGCCATGCGCTTCGACGACTCGCTGTTCGTCATCGAGGAACAAAACCTCTACGTCGACGAGGTCCGGGAAGCTCACCGGTGGAGCGAGATATTCTCGTCTCTTCCTTCCTCATCGTCGTCATCTTCATCCGAAACGGCAACAACAAAAACAACAACAGCAGCAGCAGCAGCAGCAGTACTATCACAATGGTGTCTGTCCGGCTTGAATACGCTATCGCGTATCGCGGCTAAAGAAGGCGTAGACGGCCCGTTGGGCTGGACTTCGAAACCCGAGGTCTTTGCTATCTGCGCGCGGATCGTGATTAGTGGTGCTGCGCTTGCGAAGGCTGGAGATGAACGGATTAGAGATGCGTTAAAGCGGTTTAGGGACGAGGGTAGGCGGACGGAGGTAAGCGGGTTATTACTGGGTATGTGCGGCGATTTAGACGAGTAAGGGAGCTTATGTTAAAAAGGGGGTGGGAGGTGATATGTCATATACCTATCTTATATCTTACTCCTTCAATCCTACGCAGTTGCAGTTTTTTTCACACCTAAGAATCCGAAATAAACCTGAGTAGGTATCATCTCGCTATATTTATTTATTCGCTACAACAGCAAAAACAAAAACAACAACCTTCCCCATTCCTCAACTCCGTACGGGACTTAAAAACTAAACTTAGCTCGCTTGCTTGCTTACTTTCTTTTTTCGCTACTCTAAAAACATGCAAACACTTTGTTTGTGACGATGCGATCGATTACCAGCCAATACCAAAAGACTCCCTTCTCATGTACTCGTAAACTCGTCTTATATCGTAAGATCTCCAAGCACAGTACAGCAGCAGCAAGTAGTAAGATACCTAGGTTAACCAATTAAACTCGCGCTCGGAAGTTTTCTCCGAGAATTTTCTTTCTTCCTTTGGAAACCCCCTTACCAGGAGTCTAGACGGTGGTATATCCTGTGCAGGCTTACTTCTTCTTCTTCCCTTTTGCGTCCTGAGTTGTATATGCAGATTACTCTCCTTCCTTAATAAGTGAACGCGCTGGGTGTTCGATCCAATTAGCTCTCGTCCTCGGCGTCCTCGCAGATGATACACAGGGAGCAGCCCCAGACGATGCCGCGCTTGATCTACGAGCGCAGCGAACTCGCGCGCCTGGACTTGGGGTCCGATGATGTTTGTTGGTCCGTCATGGACCTCCTGATCCCGCCAAGGCCGCCCGAGCCGTCACTGTCGTCCACGTTGGCGCCCTCGCGGCCCAGGCGCGCGACCAACATCGTGTTCTGAGTTTGCAGCTCGCCGATCTGCTCCTTCAGGATATCCATCTGCTTGTACGCGAGGTCGCGTTCGGCACGCACCTTGTCCAGCTCCATGGCCAAGGTTGTCTTCTCCTCGCGCTCGAGCGCCTTACGTCGCCGCTCCTCAGCCTTCTTCTGTTCGCTCGCCCGTTTGGCTTCTAGTTTTGTTAGTTCCCGTTGGAATTTCTCCTGCTGCTTCGCTATCTCGCGCTCATGCTTCTCGCGCAGCTTCTGCAACGCGGCCTCCTCACGTTGGGATGAGGATTCCGCGTCTCCGTTGCCACGTTTGGCGAGCGCTCGCTCTTGTGCCCTGCGTAACTTCTCTTCCGTCTTCCGCTTGCGCTCTTCGAGTTTCTTAAGCTCTTTGTCGTGGTGCGAATGTGCTATTGAGCGGGCTGTGAGCGATTCGCTCGAGACCGTAGACTCCGCGCCACCGTTAGTGACCGAAGGCGTAAGCTGGGCTGAGCTATCTCCCGGCTTCGGTGACGCATTGTCGTTTTCGTCTATGCCTTCGTCCTCTAAGCTATGGAAACTATGAATGGATGATTCGTCGTCATCCTGGTTTTCAGAGGTGAGTTCTGACGAATCTGCGTTTTCGCCGTTGACCTGTCCAAAGGGAATAGGAATGCGAGAAGCTGCAGCATTCAAAGCACTCGCTATCATACCGTAAACTCCTGAAGAGCCAGGTTCTTCAACGCTTTCCTCCTGCCTGGTAGCTGACGGCTGTGAGGCCTTTGGGCGGTGGGCGGTATTCGGTGTAGGATCTGGCGTAACTGTCTTCTCGGACTCTACTCGTTTGGCATCAGATGCATCCTCACGTTTGGGTTCCGCGTCTTTATTGTCTGATTCGATGAAGTCATCGATGGATTTAGACGAGATCCATTGGACCAACTTGTTAGCATCGCCAGCAATGCCCGGCGGCGTCCCCCTTTCAATCATGAAGCGCGGAACGCTGCCGCCTGGGTCACTTCGAGTAACCATTAACCATTCGATCATAGTCTCGTAGTGGTCATCTTCATCTCCGTCACCTGCAACATCCGTACTTCCAATGGTTTTGCCCCGTTTCCTTCCAGATTCACTGTTAGTGGATTCGGCTGCTTGGCGGGCTGAGCGGATAGTGGCCTCTCTAGTGAGATTTTCGGCAGTTTTCCGCATCGACGCTGTAGCCTCGTCATTGGGCAGATCTATTGACGATCGGATCTTCCGGAGTGGCTTCTCTACACGAATTTCACGGATATACTCGACTGACTCGTATTGACCTCGAATGTAGCCCTGCCGCGGTGGACATTCTGGGTGAATGCATGGTTTCGAGACAAGCATATAGTGTCTAGGCGTACCTGGGGCATCGATAACCGATTCGGAGCTGAGGAGGAGACCGATAAAGTCTCGTGGCGTTGTTGGACCAGGGAATTGCGCAGACAATTGATATACTAAATAAAGCAACCAGTCAGCTCTATTAGGCCATCGAGGGGATAGCCAACGTACCCCGCATGTTACCGACGCCTTCAACAGTTTGACTGACGATCTTTCTGTCCGCACCAATTCCTCTAATGCTCCCTGCACCAGGTCCTCCTTCGACTTTTAAGCTCTCGTCGAATTCCTTATCCAGTCCTAATTTCCATTTTTCAAAGTCGAAACCGTCGTGGACGCTGCGCCTAGCAAACCAAGCACCCTTTCCATCCTTGGCCGCCAGTTTATAAACGTCGAGCCCCAGTGGATTTTCGCGCGGGTTAACCTTGCATTCTTTCCATTCTTTTCGCAACTTCTCCGCATGGTCTGATAATTTGGGGTCTCTGTTGGGTAGTGAGGAAAGATTGGTGTCAGTGGCCGACCGCGGCAAGCCCATGTGTTGGAGGGACGTGGAGGATACCGGGATAGAATCGATTATACATTGTGCGTCGGTGAATGCGTCCTTGAGAAAAGTGTCGAGTTTATCCTGGGGGACATCTTCCCAATTGATTGGGCCAAGAGCCTTGAAGACGTCGTGAGCGCTCGGCATAATCGCTTACACCCTTGAGCCACCCAAAGATAGTAAACGCTTACAATACTTGTTCGTACGTATTAACGTATCAACGTATTAACGTCTAAGCAAGAGTTACGATACACGTATTCCGAGTGTAGACAATTCGCAAAAAGGGAAATACGAGGTAAAAAAGTCAAACGACGGTAGCTATTGTAAAGTTGAGTTGGTTAGTTATTAATTCCATTCTATGCCCAAAGCCAATGGTCGCTAGATATAGCGATTTACAAGAAGAAACAATGATAATCCATATAGGAATTATTAAAATAAATCGGGCTTGGATTAGGGGGTTAGATATTGTAAGTTGGCTTGAAAAAAAATAAAATAAATAAAAGCGAATGCGAGGACTGGGAATAAAGAGTGTTATGGAGTTTTGGCTTGGCCTCCAAAAAAAACACACACAATGTTCGGCGGAAGCGAGAGGCTGAGCTCCAAATATCCTTGACGTCACACGTGCGCCCATATACAAGAGACAGCAGGGCAGCTTCGACCCCTGAATTATCTTTAACGTGGAATTTACACTATCTTTAGCATTATACGGGTAATATTTCTATTATTACATAAGGACGCAGTAGTCTTACCCCAAGTTATGACCAGTTTTAGTCTAGGGTAACTAAGCCGATTTCCGGCTCTCGAAAGCAGGAGTAAGCGATTTGAGGAAATGACCAATTATAAAAATCGTAAATGGATATTACCCTATTACCTCATTAATACTTACCAAGGATAAAGAGGAAATGGATCGTTCTATACAATAGACTGCGGTCTCTTCTCTTGGGTATAGACAGTGATCCACTCTCGGTATTGGACTATATATCATGCACATCATGCACTTGGCGGCTCAACATGTCATGGTCCATTAGGAGAGAGGCTCGAGACAGGTACCTAATCGATGCAACTAGGTGAAGGTTTTCTCACGAGCGATTCAAGTCTAGTTACGTCATATGAGAAATATAGATACCGGGCAGTTCTACAAAGAATTAAATACACATAGAGATATGTTCATTTGTGAGCAACATCCTACCTTCAGATCTAGCAATTATCTCTTCTAAGATATCTCGAGATTTTTTTTTTTTTTTTTTTTTTCATGTTGTACCAACCTAGTGGCAGTATCAAATGTGAGCAATACTCTAATCGGCCGTAGCGGAGATATCCAAACGGGAACCACCTGACTACCTATCTGCGTGGTATATGTGCTTATCACGAAGCCTTATCGTGAGTTCGAAGCTACCTACCTAAGCTAACGTAGTGAATTGGAAATTTCCTTCACAAAGGCTACCTACCTAGTACCTACCTATAAGTCATTTTGTACAACTTGAATTTTATCACTCAGTTATCTCGTTGCTCGGTTAGCTCAGTTCGGTTAGAGCGTCGTACTAATATCTTCATCTTTCATCGGTGGAAATATCAAGTTAATGCGAAGGTCATGAGTTCAATCCTCATACTGAGCAGCCCAATTTTTTAACATTATGTTTATTATGTTTTCCTGATGTTGATAAATAATTTTTTTTCTCTCTCTTTTCTCTCTTCACTTGGGGCACTATGCAGGTAGATACTAGATACTTAGATACTCACTCTACTTATATGTTACGCTCGCAATGGGTATTCGTATTTCCAACCTAGACTAGACTTCTAATAAACAATCCAAACGGGCGATACCCAATGCTCCTCCCATACAAATATAGTACATATAAGGTTGTTCTTCCCCCCTAAATTATTTACTTATCTGTATATATACCTAGGTAGGTATTTAGCTCGCTCCGTGAGAAGCTTCTATACGCCAACCCCATTCACTCCGCCCTATTGTCTACTTCCAATTTATTTTCTTCACCCTTTCTTATTTATATCTACTACAATGGCGTCGACGCCATCGATAAGCTCAACCTCTCCCTCTCCTCGAGCAGCGCCTCGCGATCCGCCTTACAGCTACCGCAATATTCCTCGTGCCACCTCTGCAGGTTCCTGCGCCTTGCTTCGTCTTTGTCTTTATCGTTATCTTTACCACCGTCTCCGGTGCTCTGGAGCACCTTCTGCGTGATTTCTCGCTTGAGCTTCCCTCCATCTGCTGAGTTATTCCACGCCGCGAGCAGGACCTCGACCTGCTCGCACCGGTGGTTCTCGTCAAACAGCCAGTTCTCCCACTCGGCGTGTATCATCTCGCGCTCGACGCTGTTGACCGTGCGCATCGCAACTAGCAAGTCGTGCCGGTATGCGCCGAGCTTCTGTCTCGTCTGACGCAGCCGTCGCGCCGTCGCGCGGCTCGAGCTCCACGACATCGAAGATCCCGCATATTCGTACGGCGCATCCGCGTCGCTGCTGTTGGCGATGGACTGGAATGTTTCGTAGCAGTAGCTATCTTGTGGCCATGCGGGTAGAGCCCTTGAGCTCCTTGCCGCTTCGTCCAAGTCCGCTATGTAGATAGCCTTGCTCATCACGACGTTCGGCCCTATGCCGACGCGGTTCATAAAGCTGGCCGCTCGTCGTTCGGACCACCATGTCGATGTGCTTTGCGACGAGAACACGATATTTGTAATCACACTAAATCCCAGCAACGAGAGGATGAGCCGCTCCGCCGTTATCACGTCCCACAATTTCTTGATGGCTGCGAACGTCCACATCATCAGAGACGATGCAACACTATCGGCAAAGGATCTTAGAGTTTCGAGTAGCATCGAGCCTAGCGTACGCGGGTTAATATGCGGCTTTTTCGACGTGCCAGCTTCTCCAGGTGTGAAGACTACAACCTGAGTTTGCAGTCCTATATGTCCGTAAACCTGAATAGCCCTCTTTGTGCGGCTGTGGTGACCGAGTTTTCGCACTTGATCCGTCGCCACTTCTGCAAGCTCTTCGGCGTCCTGAGTGGCATCGTCAAGCGCCTGCCGCTCGACTAGGTTCTTAGCAAGAGCTGGTGGTTTTGACCAGGCCACTTTCGTGAAGATAGCTAGCTTGCACTTCGACTTGGCAACGTGAGTGATGACAATCTTAGTGACCAGCTTAAAACTGTGGGCATGAGGTAGATGCCACGGGGTTTTCACATGTGTGACCACGTATGTAACGTGGTCGCTAAATAATTCGATCGTCTGTTCGTCAGTGACCTCTTCGGCCCTTGACCGACCCAGTCTTGAAGTGTAGTTGACACTAAAACGGAACTGTCTCTGCATGTTTCCGCTCTCATTTACCTTCCAAGGGCCCTGGGCGATGTGCTGGGCTCTTCGCTCAAAATAGAGCTTGGGAAAGACGAAGCTCTTATCTCCGAACAAGACGTGAAAACATGCTTTGGCGCTAATCTCGAAATTCCGCTCAGCGACCTTCTTCTGCATATCTTCGGGCTCGTAGATTACAGGGTGGGTTGGGAGCTGGAATTTAGGAAGAGGCTTCCGTGCGCCTCTGCGTCGGGAGCTATAAACTGAATTATGATGCCGGGGGCTGATAGCCCTACCAGCAGCAGTGCCGTCATCGATAGGAGTATGCTCTGAAATTTCTTCCCAACTGTCCATGCTAGGACTCCTTCTGTCCAAATCTTCTTTCTCCAAGCTGATTAGTGCTTTGATAAGCTCGGGTAGATCCATAGGCTCTTCGGCTTGCAGGTCGTCAACTAGGAGGTTTAGACGCGAGTGTAAGAGATCAAGATCTTCGAGGAATGTTTTGATTGTTATTCGGGTGTATCCAATTTCATCAGCGCCCTGGTTCAGATGGAGGAAAATGAAATCGCAATCTCTACCAGGAGCAGCGGTTACTTCTGTAATGGTATCTAGTTTAATGGTATAAGTCACGACGAGGCCCATTTGGTGGCCGTAGAAGTACATGTTATCCGGCGTGACGTAGATTCGTCCGTTGCCAGCCATCTGAGGGACGTCACGGTCTGCTTCTGAGGTGCTAGTCCAAGAAGCTCTGAAGACCAAGACCAACTTCTCATCCAAAAGCACACTAGGGAAAAGCAACCTAAACTGTGCAGAATTCGTCTTCAATTCTATGGGGTAATCAGGAGGGAAAGTCTCCGGTGGTGGCTTTTCAGGAGCGGGCAGGACAATCTTGGGATGGCTTATCTTAGCATCCATGCTAATGGCCTTCTTATGCGACGAAACTGGACTTCTAAATTCTTCACCCTCGCCGAGCGTAGTCATCTTGATCGAGGGCGAGTTTGGCCCAAATGGGTCGTCAACATCTTTGTCAGCTTGGGGAGTCTTTGGGGAGTACTCATGACCCCATGTATTACTACCCCAATAATTAGCTATTATCGCCGTTGGCAAACTATGCGTGGCATTTGTATTAAGTATCCTATCGCCGCTGTAAACGACAGCCGTCTTACTAAGATGGGTCGCTGCTGGTGGCTTCGCTAGTGTCGGAGGTGCAAGACTACCAGGTTGTGGTTCAGGCCCAGGCAAGACAGGTCCTATGGGCTGTTGTTTAGAGGTAGTGGTAGAGGGAGGATAACCAGGGAGTAAACCGTGACTGGCGGATATGAGACTGGCTATACCTCCTGTTGGAGCTGGTGATGATAAGGGCCCTGTATCCATGCTCGAGGTGAAAGTAGCTTTCCGATGGAGATCGAGTTTCTGCATGATTCTGGCTGCGTGTTCTCGACTACTCTCCCCTTCTTCGCGGGCCAACGACGTCACAGACCTCTTTGGAGGAGCTGTTGTGATATCGAAGCTTGGTCTGGGCACGAGTCCGACTTCAGGGGCTGGTAAAGTTCCCGATCGTTCAGCACCTGCCCCGTCTTCAATCTGCGCATCCAAGGATTTGGCCGAGAATTCCGGTAGCGAAGGTGGTGTGATAGAGAAAGCCGGATCAACACCGCCTGGAAGAGACGAAGTGTCCCTGGTGACGCTTGCCTCGAAAGCCCTCTTCTTTGCGACTTCAAAAACCTCGAGCCATTCCATTAGTTGGGCTTGCGTCTCGGCCTGGAGTAGTAATGTCTGGTTCTTAGTTTTCACCTCGAAGCAGAATCTACGTTCTTCTCCTACAGCGGGTTTCGCATTACAGAGAAGAACACCAATCTCATCACCTTGCAAGACGCCCTGAGGGCTGTTGACAAGCCAGCCGAAGATACCCTCCCTACAGTAGTACCATCTACGAATCCAATTGGTTCGTGATGGCTTGCCTGTTATAGTCCGTAGGAATAACCAACCTTGTTTCTCCGTTATCGCGGCGGATTGACCGTCCGTAGAGACGTTCATAGGCCCCCTAGATCCTAGGAACGGTACGGTCGATGCGCTGTAGTCGTCAATTTCTCGTGACGGTTTAAACGCTGCTAGAGTACTCTCTCCAATATCGCGCCGTGATATCTGTAGTTCGCGTCTGAATATGGGCTCGGACAATTCCATCTCTTTAGACCACCCTTTCACTCGATCCATCTCATGGCCGTATTTTCCGAAGCTTCCTGCGGCGTCCCTTGATCTCTTCATCTCACGCCATAGGTCGCAAGATACGCGCACCAGTAGCTTATCAAGATTCAGGCGGAACTGGGGCGCAAAGAAGCAGAAGTCCATGGACGCCTTCAGGTAAGCCTTACGAGTCTCGTATACGGCAAAGGCGTCCTCGCGCAAGGAAGAAGGTTCCTTCGTCTTAGACTGAGCGACATATCGAGCCAGGGTAGTGTCGAAAACTTTCTGAGTTTGCTCCAATGCTCTTCTAGCCTCCTTGAAGTTCTTTAAATCCCCCTGAAGGAAAGCTCGAATCGGCTCAACCGACATCGTGTCCATTTTTCTAGCAGCATTCAAGACCTGCACCCACCACTCCCTCGAACCCTCACTGAACCTTTTAAGTGCCAGTGCAGCATAGTCGTTATCAACGGCATTGACGTTGGGGGGCGGAATGACCTTGCTCAGATAATTATTTATGGTTTCTTCGACGTTAAGCAATTCGTGGGATAGCTTGGCGGTCGTCCTGACGTAACCTTCTAGCCATCGTTCGATCGCATCTACTTGTTCGGCAAAATATAAGGCGGAAGCTCGAAATGAGGGCGAATCGAGTCCGGCTTCGTGGAGGGTAACAGGGACGGATGGACTCGGAGGTTTAGGGGGAGGAGGAGCCGCAGAGGTGGCCATTTTAACTGAAGCTCCGAGCGAAGGTTTAAGGCTTGGTATTATTATTGCATTTGAAGCTATCGATGTAGGGTTTAAATATTGTTATGTAGTGTGTATGACTTCGGACGATTTGTAGCAATACTAGTCGATATCAGTGTCTTTTAAGCCGTCCGTTACTCGTTTAAAGTTGCATTAAATAAAGTTGCATTAGAGAAAGACGCGCCCCTGTCGCCTGACCGATGTTTGCCGCTCAACTTATCATGTAGTAGTTAGTGGCTTAGCTGGGATAGCTTCTTTCCTATTTATCCCTTCGGTCTTTGGTTTCGAGAACTTTGTATTACGCGGATAATAACCTCGTCAACTTTTAAAGGGGGGAACATGCATCAATTTGGTAGGCAACATGATTATGTCCATTGAAACAC